TTTGGTCTGAAGAAGAATTGAAGAGTTCATGTGCCAGCTATAGATCCTAAATGGAACTAGAGTCCTCATCAAATTACCTACCAAGTCAAAAAGAATGCATTCCCCTAAGCAGCTTCTGTCACTAGAAATCATCTTCTGAGAACCAATCACTCTTCCCCCAAGATGATCAGGAGATATTATACAGGATCCAGCTATTGGCGGCAGCTAAGCAATTTCACATTTAAACCTGAAAACCGTCCGTGATCATTTTCCTACATTCCCTCAAATGAGGAATAACAAAATCCATCACACTCAGAAGCAAGGCCTTACTCCTAACACTCAGGTGCCTGGAATCTACAATGAAATGCAGACATCGGGCTTCAGACCACCCAAGAGGCCATTTGGAAAGGCTTGACTGCCACCTTGTGGTCCTGTGCACTACCAGCCAAGGCGAAGGCACACAGCCAGCGAGAAAGAGTATGTGAGCAAACTGCTTTAACCCACTTCTGTTTTGACAAGAATGGTTATAACATCTTTTGACATGGCCCAGTAAGCTGAAAGAGAACAAAGGTATTAAAATATTCTGGCAACAGCCCTTGCTTGGGAGCAGGTTATTTTAAACAATTGCTTTCTCCAGGGCAATCGTACCTGAGTTGATTTGTGTATATGCTCCTAGTTTAGAAAAAGTATTTTCCATATTTTCTCTCTACTGACTAGGTTTCAAAAAATAACTATTTTGGGCCAAGAGTGGTGGCTCACACCTTGTAATCCAAGCATTTTGGGAGGCTGAGACCAGAGGATCTCCTAAGCTCAGAGTTTGAGACCAGCCTGGGCAACATAGTGAGATCCCATCTCAACAAAATATGAAAAATTATCCAGGCCTGGTGGTGCATGCCTGTAGTCCCAGCTACTTAGGAAGCTGAGGCAGGAAGATCACTTGAGCACAAGAGTGACCTATGATTGCGCTGCTGCACTCCGGCCTGGGTGACAGAGGGAGACCTGTCTGAAAACAAACTAAAAAACAAAACAAAAAACTCGTTTTGTAACGGCAAGAAAAGGCCCAACTACAGGACTGTTTTCTCCATGTTCTATATCCCCTAATTTCTCCCTTATCTTTCCCTTCCTTCTTCTCTTTCTCCCTTCCTTCCTTCCTCCCTTTCTTTCCTCCCCGACCTCCTTCCTTCCTACATTACATGTAAACATCCCTATCTAACTCGAAATTCCGTCACCAAGAAAGCCCTATGTCCAATCCTTCTGCTACTGACTGTGTGGCTTTGGCCAAGTTCCTTAACCTCTATTTAAACATCTTAGAAGAACGGTTTTTACATTTTTAAAAGACTGCAGGAGGAGGGCAATAAATAATAACACGCAACAGAGACCATATGTGGCCCACAAAGCCTAAAATATTCACTATCAGCCCTGTACAGTGTGCTGACCCCTCCCCTAGATTTCTACCATGTGAAGTACACAGTATCAACTATAAGTATTCTTTAAAAATAGACATTAAATCTGAATCTTAAGTAGACTTTAGATGCAACTTCCAGTTGACAGGAAGCAGGAGGGAGAGTAGGACAAGCTAAACACACCACCTTGGCACCACCTCACCTGCTAGTGAATGTGCTGCTGAGCTCCCCTCCAGACTGAAGCACTCAGTCCCCAGATTGCTTGAAATGTGGCCGCTGATAGCTCACAGCTGAGTTCCTCACAGGCCTTGCCCTCAGCTGAAGGGAGTGGCCTTGCTAAGGCCCCACCCCTCCCTGGGATGGTCCCTATTTGAACTTGTTATGTGCATTTCTTGCCTCATCTGGGGACCTCACTGAAGGACCACACCAGCTCTACAGCACCCCACTAAGGCCTCACCTGACATTGCCCCTCTATTTCTCCCTCTGCCCAAGCCTGGACCCCTTACATCCTCACAGGTGTTGTGAGAACCTTCCCCCCAAAAAAACTATCTGCATTCAAATCTCCATCCCAGAGTCTGTTTTCCTCAGCCATCCCTCCACACTCTATTCTCAGCATAACAGCTGTTGTGAGATAAGGCAGGTCTTTACCCCTTTACTCAGAGCCCTTCAATGGCTTCCATCTCATCAGAACCGTGCCATCTACACCCTTGTTGCATTATTGCTTGACTTTGCCTCCTTCTCCTCTGCCCTTGATCACACCAGCGACACTGGCTTCCTTGCTGTTCCTCAAACATACCAGGCATGCTCCTGCCTTGGGGCCTTTGCACGTGCTCTTCTAGCTTCCTGGAATGCTCCTTTTCCAGTTATCTGCATAACTCCATCCCTCACCTCCTTCTAGTCTTCAATGAAGACTTCCCTGACCCCCTACTTAAGTGTGCAGGACTCCACCGAACCCCAGACTCCACATCCCTCTTTGGTTTCTCCATAGCATGTATCAGAATCTGGCACACTGTACATCTTATTTATGTTAATGTCTGTCTCCACCAGAATGTAAGCTCCATGAGGGCAATGACTTTTATCTAGTCCTTTCTTTGCTATATTCCCAGAACTTAGAATAGTAACTGATACAAAGTTGCAGCCCAATCAATATTTATTGAATGAACAAGTAAATAAATGAATGGAAGACTGTGAACGTGGAATCAGAAGGCTTGTGATCTTTAGGGAAGTCCCATAACTTCCCTAAAGTGGAATGGAAGACTTCCCTAAACGAATGGAAGACTGTGGATGTAGAACTAGAAGGCTTGTGATCTTTAGGGAAGCAATCTTCACATGAAAAACAGGAACCATAATTCTCATGTCATTTTGGTAATGATTATATAATGTACCATTTATAGAGACATCATGTAATAAACTGCTAAATAAAAGGTATAATTTTTGATCAAACTGAATTCTTCACCAGTGAGGTACTTAATTTTTATAATCTAAGAGCTACCAGATTGCCAAAAAGGAAGCACAGAAACATTCAGACACAGAAAACCTTAACAATGGTTCTGATATTCAAATAAGATATAAACGATTTATTCCAAAGCCATACCCAAAACATACAATGAAATGCATCCCTGTTAAAGACTTAATAAAAAGAGCAATCTTTACATTTTACAATGTGAAGAACTACTGTTCCCACAAAAAGTCTCATGAAAGTTAATTCCATAAAGTGTCAAATGTATTTTCCTGTTTATATAAAATGTATTCTCTTTAAATGCAAAATATTCAAATATAGCATTTTATTTCGAAATTGTTCTCAATTTCTGAAATTCTCACTACTCTACAGCATCCCATCTCCACACGTTTCTTAAAATGAGGTAAGAAGACAAACGGTGAAACCTTTTTTTCAGATCATTTTTTCAGAAGTTAATGCCTTGCTGATGCGAAGTACAACATGCTTTTGTCATTCCTTTTATCTGAAATATTTTCCCAGTGGTTACTCAGTATTTTGCACAAAAAAAAACTTGCAATACCTGTCATTTAAAAATCTGTAACATGTAATTCTTTTTATACGATTTTAAGATCTGAATCAAAGCTATTGCTACAGTGATTCACTATTTTCTTTACAGGTACTTTAATAAATATTCCTCAATTCTAGAAGACTACTCAAATCCTTTAAAGTGGGGTTCAGCAAACATCTTCTGTAAAGGTCCAGATATTTTGTTTTGTGTGTCATTTTTCTGATGCATATTTTTTACAACTGTAAAATGTTTTTAAAAAATTATTTAGCTATTCTGTAATTTGCTACCCCACTATTTTAAAAAATAGAACTAGTCTCTAAATTAGACTATTCAAGTGTTAATAAAATGTAAACTTCACATTGTACAGTAAAATAAATCCACGGTTTCTGACTACTAAATTGAAAGTTCATAAGCAGTAAGAAATGAATCCCATTCAAAGAGTAGGGCTACATTCCAGATATTCTTTTTAATCAATGACACTTTCTTGTGGCTCTTCACTTTGATTGAATGTCACACATCTGTAGTTTGTTTTTTCTTGGTTTTACTTTTTTATAGGGAAAAATTATCCTCATGAGGCTAATTTGAAGTTTTTGAAATTAAAGACTAGAACACCTTGATGCTGACAGAGGTAGATGCACACACACTGGTATATGCAGTTACAAATACTCACATAAAATGGAAACCACTATTTCATATACAAATTAATCACAAACGCACTCCATGGCTAAGGAGGAATCAGTGGAAACCAGATAGAAGGTATGCAAAACAGTCCCACAGAATGTTCTAATTTTCTTTTATCACATATAGTTGCTACATTTTAGGAAAACACGATTTGAATATGAAACATGTAAATATAAATTAATATAGTGGCATGATTTATTCAGGTTCTTGATGCATATAACCTGGAGGTAACTAAACTCTGATCTATATAACATGGCCCTATAGCTCGGTACTGAGAATCACAACTCTGCGTGTGTGTGTGTGTATGTGTGTTGCATGTTTTCCTTTCCTACTACAAACAGTGTTATAACCAGATTATGGCAAATAAAAGAACAGTTGTAAATTTACCCAAATATATCACAAACAAGTTGGAACACTCTGGAATTACAGTCATATGATATTCTACAAAAATATTTACAAATTCTAAAGCTGAAAAAGTTGAAAACTTTGGTATCCATAAAAAGAGAAAGTTCAGGGCCATGCGTGGTGACTCACACCTGTAATCCCAGCACTTTGGGAGGCCAAGGTGAGAGGATTTCTTGAACCCAGAGTTCAAGACCAGCCTGGCCAACATGGTAAAACCCTGTCTCTATCAAAAATACAAAAATGAACCGGGCGTGGTGGTACTTGCCTCTAATCCCACCTACTTGGGAGGCTGAGGCACAAGAATCACTTGAACCCAGAAGGCAGAGGTTGCAGTGAGCTGAGATCATGCCACTGCAGTCCAGCCTGGGTGACAGAGTGAAACTGTGTCTCAAAAAAAAAAAAAAAATTAGCCAGGTGTGGTGGTGCAGGCTGTAATCCCAGCTACTCAGGTGGCTGAGGCAAAAGAATCACTTGAACCTGGGAGGTGGAGGTTGCACAAACTGAGATCATACCACTGCACTCCAGCCTGGAGTTAAGCAACCTATATCTTTAATGTTATAAAATCAGCTTCATGAAATTTGGGCTTAGAAAAATCTATTAGGTTACATGTATCTATTAGGTTTTTTTTTCTGTTTCAGAAAAAAAAAGAAAGAAAGAAAGTTAAAGTGTACCAGGGAGTCCATGCTCAATTTTTGAACTATAAAAAGTTTTCAGTGCAAAATTATTGCTATTGATAAATAGCAATGACACAAAAGCCACATGAAACACTTAACGTCTATAAAACACATAACAATATCCTGAAGGTATGTTTTGGCACAGAAAAGGTAATTCGGGGATAGGAAATAACAGGTTGCTTTACTGATTTAATTCTAAGTCTGGGTGTTGGAGTGTTTAAACACTCTTTTTGCAAACAGGCTCAACATATTTATAGCTCATCACGTTTCTTCTTAAATGGCCACTTTGGGTGTTGCAATACGTGGTCTGCAGCCTGAAGGACAAGATACATAAATTCTTCTACATCGAAAGAGTAGTTGGTGAACTTCGGGTGCTCCCCCAGGGTTGGATGGTGGCCCTGCGAAAACAAACCAAAACACGAATCCATAACTCACTAAGGGCATGGTTTTCTCTACAGCAAGAAAATTACGTTACTTTGGCTAAGGCAACTAATTTATGTTCTACATCAGAGACCAGCAAACTTTTCCTGTTAAGGGCCAGAAGATAAATATTTTCAGCTCTGCTGACTCTTAAGGTCTCAGTCACAGTTACTCCACTCTGTCACTGAAGTGCACAAACAACTAGAGACAGCACATAAACAGACAGGCATGACTGTGCTTTCTTTACAAAAACATGTCATGGGCTGGATTTGCCCACAGGGCTGTTGCTTCTTGATCCCCTCTCTATATATAATCTAATAGATTTTTCTAAGCCCAAATTTCACGAAGCTGCCTTTATAACATTAAAGATATAGGCTGCTTAATTCCCCCTTGTCTCCTATTTGCAAATATAAAATAAAACAATTCAGTATTCCAGAGAACAGTTTATCTTTGCAGCACTCGAGTTCAATAACCGTTTTTCATATCAATAATTGGATACTTTAAACCAATTAAAAATGAAGCAAGGTAAGTTTTGTGATTGAACTTTACCTTATCCTGAGGAAAGACTTTGTTCTGCCTTTGCCAAGTGATGTAGTGAATGCCCCTCAGCCTGGCCAAGTCTAAGTAACAGCGTTCATCTTCACAGTTGTACCTAAGGACACAAGGGTGTCACAACATGAGGCTTTTGTCCAAGGTTTCTGCCAAATCAACAACTCTCTGTGAAAATAAAATGCAGCTCCCAAATATGTCCTTGCAAAACGTTGTAAACAAGACTGACGAAGATAGTAAACAAGACTGAGGAAGAGAAAGTAAAAATATTCTCTGAACTAAATGAACTTAACTTTTAAAAAACAAAATAGGATCATGGAATGGAAAGAATTGACCTTGTTCAGTAGGGCCTGCTGCCTATGAACTTGACATCACCTTATAATACCTCTGTCTTCAAATGTATTTAAGTGGCAAGGGGGATAGGTAACACTTCCAAGGTCATATAACTAAATAGTGAAGGATGCAAAAGTAGAACCCAGGTCCATTAGACTCTAAGGCTTGAGTTTTCTCAGTTACATTTCTCTCCCTTCTCTCTCCTTTTTTCCATCCTTCCTTCTCTCTCTACAGGAGAAATGACAGAGACAGAATCCATTATCTGGCTATTTCTCTACATATATCATATATATTTTTGAAATGTTTTGCAGGGCATTGGCAGTTCATGACAACTTTTTTCCTAAATAGCCTCCTAAATAAATAGAGTCAAATCATTTTTCAAATGAAACCATAGAATCCAGATATTTAGCATAATGGGGGGAAACAGGTAACAGTAACTGCTATTAGTGTCTCAAGAACTAAAATGGAACACAGTGTCAATAGCAGAATTATTATGAGAGGGAAGGCCATGTCTCCATAAACGAACCACTGAGTTAAAAGCATGCCCTGGGCAAGTCATTAACACCCAAGGGCCTCAGTTTCCCTGTGTATGGGATCAGCAAGCACTAAGTGAAGTGGTTGGCTTGTATTTTGGAGCTATGTTGTGCATGAGACATAAATGCTTTCTTTTAACACAATAACTACACTGTTTGCAAGAAGATGCTCAGAGTTTGGGAGGTATGCAGGAACAAACTAGAATAAGGAAACCACAGATTCACACCTTCTGTATCATGCTGGGGATGGGAAGATGAAGGGGTAGTTGGCTTACTAAGCGCAATGGCAGGCTACGGACTTTGTATTTTTAGCTTCAGGCCTTTTTTTCTTTCCAGATGTCTATATGATGTGACTTCTGTTTTTGAATGATTAAATATTAAGCCTTTTGATGCTCAGAATGAAAGCCTTAGCATGCATAAAAAGCACTATCAGTTGCTTCAATGTAAAACTGCCTCCAAACACTTACAGTTCAAATACAGCAGCCCAGTCTGGAAGGAAAAGTAAATGGGTCAGACCAGCTCCATGCATTCCAATAAATATGTCCGTGTTGTGTGTGATCCTCAGTTGATCTAAAAACCCAAGTTCTCTGTGAACATACAGAGTAACACGAGAGAGATGGGGAGAAGAGAAAAGTATCAGGTTGAGTTAGTTCATGATTCACAGTAAGGATATTTATAAAAGTGTATTGCCCATTTTAAACCACATTCCATTTTTAAGACGCATTTTTGCCAATTTCAAGTGCTCTCTAGTAATTAATAAATTTCTTAATAATTTAACATATTTTCTAAGTAAGCTCACCTATCCTTTTAGGTTTAAGCATATTTAGTTTTAAAGGAAACTTTAATATCTGTCTTAAATGGAAAATCAGTGACATATGACATTAACAAAATTGTAAAAATTGACATAATCTAAGTAGTGTTCAAATCGAGATAGATACTATTGCAAGACAAAGCTCAGAGCCTGAGGCCTGCTCTTTCTTCATGAAAAAGAGAAATTGGCAAGTGTTAAAGAGATGTTATGACACGCTAGCACTAAATTAAAACTATTTCCTTAGGATAATATAAGGACTTCTCAAAAAGAAAAATTTCTCCTTGTGTGATTTAAGTTTTTTAATGCCAGCTGGGTACATCCAAAATTATCTCAGATACCATCAAGGCATTATCCTGCCTTTGGAACAGACAAATACACAATTTTATGCATGTTAGGACTGTACAAGTGTTCTCTAAATCCAAGACACTAATAAGTGTGTAACCCTTGAACCAAAAATCAGTCCCCAAACAGTTCACTGAGGTGAGGGTAGGGAGAAATGCTGGAATAAGGGTGACACTCTGAATAAACAGAAAGAAATGAGATCTCCCAGCCCCATTTTACTCAAAGTAAAGAAAAAGAAATGATCAAGATTATTTTGGATCTAAGAAGGGAAGGCGAATTCCCTTTTATACCAGCTAACAACAAAACTCCGCACAGGAAAAGGAAGACAGCTCCATGTGTATATGTATCGCAATGAGAACATGTGCCTCAGTTTCTCCAGGAATGTGAACTGGAGCCAAGGGAAGGACGGCCATTCACCCAGATGAACATACTCCTGGAGCTGCCAGTTGTGGAAACGCCTGTGGTCAGCACTCACCAATCCCCATGCTAACATGTTACTAATATTTCCTGCAGACTGGCAAGATACGAATTCACTGTTATTCTTGCTTATCTGAGAAACTACAACATATCCTTAAAAGCCAGTCAATGATACAGCCTCAGAGGTGCCCTCCCCAGTTCCTTCCATTTCTTCCCAGCCTCATCTCAGTGAATGGTTTTGGGACTGATGTGGGGGCCCCATCGTGGCTCACTCATTTCTTCAAGCAACACTGACACAACATTTCTTCAGCACTGCAGAGTATCATCTGTAAAATGGGACTGGATGGGCCAACTCAGAAGACTGTTGAAAGCATGAGAAGAGATAAATAATAGCTGTTTTTACGATTGCTATTTATCTCTATTCAGTGTCTGAGATCCTCAAGACCAGGGCTATGCCATCCGCCATAATGGGATGGGATTCCTACTGCTGAGACTGGTGACCAGCTCATGGGTCCCCAGTAGAGATTCACTGCACAAACGAACTAATGTATGATGAATGAAGTGCAAAGCTCCCATGCTTACATACTCTGAAATTAAGTGTATCTATATTAGATACCCACATGCTGGGACATGTGTACTTCTTTTAACTGGCAAGTCTTCGTAGTGTTAGATTTGGGAAACACAGCTGTGATTGCCGGTGGACATGGAGACAAAAGTTTTCACTTTTCCTTTTGATCTTTTCTATACTGCTTGACTTTTTCAACCAGAAACATGTACTACTTTTACCAGTAAGATGTAATTCTAGCAACAGGAATTACCTAAACTGTGAATAATAGACATATTCTGTCTTTCTAAGTCTTTTAGTTGTATTAAGAGTTTTAAAAGAAATGTAAATATTTGATAATTTTTTTAAAAATTTCATGTTATTCTGACCCTCAAATTATCCCCATATAAATAATTTTAAGTCAGATGTTGAAATCTGGCAGCAGGCAGGGCAAATTAGGTTTATAACATCTGTAAATTTTGAACTAGTTGCCCTTTTTCAAATTTTTTTTTATTTTTTGTAGACAGAATCTTGTACTGTCACACAGGCTGGAGTGCAATGGTGCGATGTCAGCTCACTGCAACGTCCACCTCCTGGGTTCAAGCCATTCTCCTGCCTCAGCATCCTGAATAGCTGAGACTACAGGCACATGCTGCCACACCCGGTTCATATTTTGTATTTTTTAGTAGAGATGGGTTTCACCATGTTGCCCAAGCTGGTTTCCAACTCCTGAGCTCAGGCAATCCGCCCTTCTCGGCCTCCAAAATGCTAGGATTACAGGCATGAGCCACCGTATCCAATCTGCTAATTTTTTAAAATTATGAAATTTTAGGCCAAGTGTGGTGGCTCATGCCTGTAATCGCAGCACTTTGGGAGGCAGAGGTGGGCGGATCACTTGAGGTCAGGACTTCAAGACCAGCCTGGCTAACATGGTGAAAACTCATCTATACTGAAAATACAAAAATTACCCGGACATGATGGTACATGCCTGTAGTCCCAGCTACTCGGGAGGCAGAGGCAGGAGAAACACTTGAACCCAGGAGGTGGAGGTTACAGTGAGCCAAGATAGCACCACTGCACTCCAGCCTGGGCGATGGAGCAAGACTCTGTCTCAAAAACAAACAAACAAAAAAAAAAAAAATTTCTGAAATTTTAAATGAAAATCTGAATTCACCACTTCTTTTGAATAAGGAGATGGAGTCCCAACATCAGGCCCCAGAAAGAAAAAGAGTAACTGCCCTTGTTCCCAGGGCCCTCACCTGCCCATTTCATTCATTTATAGGATCTACTTGTCCCTTCTGGGCCTACAAATGCCAATGACTCCCACTGGAAAAATGCTTTCTAGCCCCCTTGACCTCATCCAAGCAAAAGTTGACAGTGTCTGCTGAGATTGGCTATTACTTACCTATACTTGTAATCAACAATCTGGACTTCAAATGTAGGTACTGTTTTCAGTGCATTTACAAGCTGGGAAAAAAGAGAAACATTTAGCATTTCTTTTCCTTCTTTCTCTTCTGTTTTTTCCTTTATGAGTCCTAAAATTCTTTTTTTTGCATATACTATTTCAGAGATTAAATATCATTTCATAACGACAACAACAAATAAAAAGAAAATAAATAAATATCATTTGGGTCAACAGTTTTGAACTGTCATGAAGTTCAAATCCAGGCTCCACCTGTGAACACATGACTCTACCTCCCTCAATACCAATGCACTGTGTTGTTGTGAGGCTGAAAGGAAAAGAAAATTCATGGAAGCAAAGTGCTAGGCACAGAAATACACTAATCATTAACTGTTACTCCAGCCTTTACCTTAAGAGTTTTTGTCCCATCCATTATCTCATTTCAGACAAACCGCTAGTGCTTTGAACCTCATCCTCTCAAAATACTAAGGTCTTGGCAGAAAAACATTTTCAGTACTTCTACATAGAAAAACTATTACTCTTCTAGCAAACAGAAAGTAACAAAGCATTGTTAATCTGTTAGGAAAAATATAGTCATGGTTCTCTGTCCCTCACAATTAGGCCATAGAGGATCACCACCATTCAGAAATGTCTGCACCTGAATCATGTTGCCTTGTGGCATGCACTACACTGCAACAGCAACATCAACAGTTGCATGTATCATTGACGGGGCATGTAAGTGGTGCTGGCATTTCTAAGTGTGTCATTAGGCTTACTTCACTTAATCCTCATAAGAATCATACCAGTGGCCAGGCGCAGTGGCTCACGCCTATAATCCCAGCACTTCGGGAGGCCGAGGCGGGAAGATCACCTGAGGTCAGGAGTTCAAGGCCAACTTGACCAACATGGTGAAACCCCATCTCTACTAAAAATACAAAATTAGCTGGGCGTGGTGGTGCATGCCTGTAATCCCAGCTATTCAGGAGGCTAAGAGAGGAGAATCACTTGAACCCAAGAGATGGAGGTTGCAGTGAGCCGAGATCACGCCATTGCACTCCAGGCTGGGCAACAAGAGCAAAACTCTGTCTGAAAAAAAAAAATCATACCAAGTAAGTATTAGTAGTATGCTCACTTGACAAATTACACAAGATAGGCTCAGAGAAGTGAAATAACTTTCTCGGGATCTCACAGCTCCCAAATGCACAGCCAAAAATAAATCTAGGTCTTCTGACCCCAGAACCTGTGTTCTTAACCTTCTTAACCAGTGCACTCTAATGTCCTGCTTACAGAAAGCAACAAGCAGTGACCAAGATTGAATCCCCCCCATGTCACACATACACATACACACACACACACACACACACACACACACACAGACACACACAGTCATGACTGGAAATTTCTCTCTCCAGACAGCCCCTGAACTCTTATGAAGAGTTGAAGGGGTAAGAAGAGTAGCATTCTGTTTTACAGGAGATGGCAGATGGCATAAGCATTGGTCTTTTAATGAGATTGCCCACATAAAAGGAATCACGTGTGCTGAGGGTCTCAGGGCAAGCATGCCCTTTTTCATGACTTCTAGTTGCACGAGAAAGGTGGCCCTATCCCTTCCTATAGCTATTCCACAAGCCATGATTTAATGAGGCCATTTGGGTTGTATTATCTATTTATTAATCAAAGTATAGCCAAAGGTGCTTTCTTCCCTGCCTGGGAGCTGCCTTTCCAGTGAGATACAAACCTCAGGACAGAAGCGGCCAGTTGGGTGCTCTTTGGTTTGGAGTTGGGGGCTGAATGATCAAATTTCACCTTTGGGCGCCATCATCTGGGCAATGTGCATGACTGAATCTGAAAACCTCACGCCTGCATTAAAGCATCTACCAGCACTATACCTTTCTTTTTTTTTTTTTTTTTCATTATACTTTTAAGTTCTAGGGTACATGTGCACAACATGCAGGTTTTTTACATATGCATACATGTGCCATGTTGGTGTGCTGCACCCATTAACTAGTCATTTACATTAGGTATATCTCCTAATGCTATCCCTCTGCTCTCCCCCCTCCCCACAACAGGCCCCGGTGTGTGATGTTCCCCACCCTGTGTCCAAGTGTTCTCATTGTTCAATTCCCACCTCTGAGTTCGAACATGCAGTGTTTGGTTTTCTGTTCTTGAGACAGTTTGCTGAGAATGATGGTTTCTAGCTGCATCCATGTCCCTACAAAGGACATGAACTCATCCTTTTTTATGGCTGCATAGTATTCCATGATGTATATGCGCCATATTTTCTTAATCTAGTCTGTCAATGATGGACATTTGGGTTGGTTCCAAGTCTCTGCTATTGTGAATAGCACTATACCCTTCTACTGGACTTCTCTGCAGCAGCCTGATGCTGTTCCTCAGCCTGTCCCTTCCTGATGGACTGGGGTCAGAGGTAGATTCTGCCTCCTCTGAAATCTATTTGCTATTTCAGTAGTAGCACACTCTGGCTAAGAAAGCAGTTTCAGTCCCCGACTACCTTGACTCACGTCCCCGTTACTCTTAATCACCAGCTGGGTGACCTTAGGCATGTTTTTTAACCTCTGAGTCTCAGTGTCCTTGTCTAGGATAGAGGATAATAATACCTACCTCATGGGTTTGCTGGGAGGGCTGGGGAGCACAATGTACAAAAGGAGCACACAATAATATGTTTGACCCCCCAATTGCACTCATTATGTATGGTCTATACCAATATATACTGTTGATCTGTTGGCTACTGAGGCTTCCCATTTGTATACCCAATGTTGCACTATTTGATACGTTATTTCTAGGTCTTTAAACACACACACACAAACACACACACCCTCCACACACACACTGCTCATTTCTTCCATCCACAGAGCTTACAATTAACACCTCATTATGCCATATGTTCATGTCCTCTGTAATCCATATGGGTCTCAGGAAGAGACGTTAATTACATAATTCTGATCAGCTTGTTAGGCAGCCAAATTAGTCTGTGTAAAATATTTTACCCATCAAAACATGGCCCCCCTCCCCCAACTTCCCTCTTACTAAGTATTGTCCAGTTTGTTTCCACTTGCCTGCTCAAGTTAAAAGCCTCAAGTCACACTTGATCCGTGATACCTTTCCTGGCCTTCTCTAGTGTGAATGTACTTCTACATTCCAAAAGTAAGTATCATAGGTCCTATCTCCAAAATATATCTTGAATCCATCTACCATGTCATCTCTACTGTCATCACTTTGGCTAAACGCTCTCCCCTGGGCCACAATAACAGCTTCTGATCAATCTCCTTGCTCTCACTCTTGCAGGCAGAATGACTTAAAAATAAATGTCAATTCATGTCTCTCCCTCTGTATTTGTTTTCTATTTGCTGCTGTAACAAACTGCCACAAATCTAGCAGCTTAACACAACACAATTTATCCCCTTACAGTTCTGCAGGATTGGAGCCTGACATGGGTCTCACTGGGCTAACATCAGGGTGTCAGCAGGGCTGTGTTCCTCCTGCAAGCTCCAGGGAAGAACCCACTGCCTTGCCTTTTCCAGCTTCTAGAAGCCCTCCACACTCCATGACTCAAGGCCTGCCCCCTTCATCCTCGAAGCCAGCAGCATGGCATCTCTCTGGCCCCACTTCCCTTGTATCTCCTTCTCTGACTCTCTTTCCTGCCTCCCTCTCCCACTTTTAAGGAAATGATGATCTGAGATCTGATCAGTGAGAAGAAGCCAGTGAAGAAAAGAGCTGTCCAGGCAGAGGCAAAAGTTCTCTGGCAGATGGATTTTAAGGCCCATTTGTGATTATACTGGGCTCACGTGGATAATCCAGGATAATCTCCTTACTTTTAGGCCAGTTGGTTGGGGACCTTAATCCCATCTGCAACCTTACTTTCCCTATGCCATGTAACCTAACCTGTTCGCAAGTTCCAGGGATTTGGATGTGGACATCTTTCGGGAGGAGGAGGAAGAGACATTATTCTACCAACAATGCCTTGCTTTAAAACTTCACAGTGGCTTTCCCCTACACTGGAATAAAATCCCTCTCCCACTAAGGTCTAGAAGGCTGATACGATCTGTGACCTCCCTGCCCCATGCCTAACTTCTTGGATATTGCCCCACCTCTCTCAAGATGCTACAGTCATATTGGTATTCTCTCTGTTTCTAGAATACTGAAAGCTCAGTCCACTAGAATACATTTGCTCTGCCGGGGAGGCTCTTTCCCTTGCTAGATCCTTCTCTGATTAGGTCTCAGTCTAAGCAGTGTCTCTTTGATGCCCTCATGTGAGTACCAACCCCCTCCATCCACATTCCCAGTCTCTATGACATCACCCTGGTTCATATCCTTTGAAGCACTTACCACTGCCTGACATCACCGTACTTATTGACTTTTTTACTTACTTCTTATCTGTCTCTCACCTCTAGAGTGTAAGCTGCATGAGGTCAGTCACCTTCCCCATCTTTGCTCTACTCTATCTCCAGGACCTGGAACATGGCCTGACACATAGCAGGTGCTCAATTAACTACTGTAGAATAAATTCTTACTACTGAGAGGCTATCTTCAGGCCATGATGTTGTAGGTAGTGGACCTGCATGGTGATCTGAGGTTAAATATAATTTATGAGTTAATGCTACTGAAATGAGTCAGGATGCCAAAAATGCAGTTTCTAAGACATGGTCATGTAACAGAATAGAGATTCTTCCAACTGAATCTGCTGCTGATACCACAGGATTAATGGCCTCAACCATCTTTTGCATCAACTATGCAAAAGAAGGTCTTGAATTTTTGCTACTTGTTTGTCCGGATGCCCTCTACTGCAGTCAAGGCAAGATTCAGACAGCTTTCTCCAGGCTGAGTTGATGCAGATGAACATTTACTATAAGGCAAAGCTAGTTTGTCCATGGTTGGTTTGGTGAATCTCACTAGAAATTCAAATCCAATAAATAAACTGGGTATAGGCCATCAAACTTTTCTCAAAACTAATAGTTTTAAACCAAAGCTTTTAATTGTAATGCAAAAAAAAAAAAGCACAATTTTCTTTATAAATTCAATATGAAGAAAGCATTAAAAATGCATACCAAAAACTAACCTCATTTTGGTTTAGGATTTTCCGGTATTCTGTGCTCCGTGCAAGAATGGTGACTCGAATTTTTCCATCCTGTAATCAAAATGAAATAGTAAAATAACACTGTATATGCCTGGGTAGATGAATGAACATCTGAACCTGAAATGTGATTTTCACAAAGAGATGAAACTCAACCAGGATACATTAATAGAACTATTCTTTTTTAGCCTGATTCCTTCACCATTCTCAGGGAATAAGAATGTATCCACTTCAACCACCGAAGGCAAAAACCAGTTCATTACATTATCTGTTTGGTTGGGTGGGTGAATTTTTTGACAGGGGTTGTGTAAGTTAGATGAATATTTGCGGAGGTGAGGGAGATATAGCCAATGAAGGGGGAAAGGAGGGCAGGAGGAAGCACATTCTTGCAATATCCCTTAGTTTCTCTTTTACAGGTTTTTGACACCAGGTTTCAGATGACTCCAGGTCAGAAAATGTTTTTGGGTTTTGTTTTGGGACAGAGTCTTGCTCTGTCACCCAGGCAGGAGTGCAGTGGCATGGTCTTGGCTCCCTGCAGCCTCTGCCTCCCGAGTTCAAGCAATTCTCATGCCCCAGCCTCCTAAGAACCTGGACTACAGGCACGTGCCACCACGTCCAGCTAATTTTTGTATTTTTTGCAGAGATGGGGTTTCGCCATGTTGGCCAGGCTGGTCTTGAAATCCTGGACTCAAGTGATCCACCTGCCTTGGCCTCCCCAGAAAAAGTTAACACGAAAACATGGTCTCCTGATTATTTCTGTTTCTGAAAAGGTGGTATCAACTTTTATTAGGGAAGAAAACTCAAGCCCATCTCAGAATCCATTACCTTGGGTCCTTCTTGTGTGATGTTTAGTCTGTGTAGCACATGCTGGGAAAATGCCCTGAATAGTCCAGTATTTTGACAGCCAGATATCTAAAATAAAAACACTGGTTGATATTACAATGAATACTTCTGTATTGTAATTTAAGATACTGTCAAGTTATGTATAAATGTTATAATGTCTGTAAATATGAATGCTAATGGTAGACAGCATGCTTACCAGAGGCGTATTATAGAACAGCCCATACCTCATGCGGGGCAGTAATGAAAAAACAGCTTCTTTAAAACATACCTAAGAACAAAGATACATTAAAAGATAAGAGGATGTAATTTGCACCCTTCACACCAAAATAGCATGTATAATTTTGAAAAATTGATTTCAATTAATCTCCATTTTGCATTAAGATTGTTTGAATAGCACGCTATTTCATTCAAAGAGAACAGAATTCATATTTTTGGAAAGATTATAGAAAAGAGTTTTCAAAGGCTGCATGATTAACAACACTGAGGATTCTAATTATAATAAAAGAAATTCAGAATTCAGAAATCAGTGGTAATGGCTAATAGGAACTCATAATAAATGTTTATTTTATGAGTGAGTCATCTGCACTCAAGAGATATTCACAGACATTTCAGGAAAATTTCCAGTACCCTTTTGGAATCATAAGTTTTCAAATGTATAATGTCATAATCAGTAAATGCATTCCATGTGTCGGAGAATAGGTCACCATATCCGTAAGAACTCTGAAAGTAGAAACAAAACAAGGTTTTAGGGCAATGAAAGGATACAACATGACTTTTCAAAGATGCAACAAAATACCTGAATTTGCTTGTGTTAAAAACTAACAATCCTACACAAAATCCGTATAAGCAAAATGGATCTTCATCTTGGGCCAGAGCAAATGCCTAATTTCATGAAATATCATCAGAAATAATGATCACAATTATACTCTTAGCCATTAACAGTGTTTCATTTTTCTACCTAAACTTCTTTTATTCTCACATCTTTGAAGTTGTAGTTCAGGGTTTTTTCCTGTGAACATCTTATCCAAATTATAGATGCACACCACACACATATATGCCACCGTTTGTACACACTCTGTTATGCTCAGCGTGCAAAAACCATCAGGGTGAGTGAAAAAAACTTTAGAAAAAAGTTTCAGAGCAAGAAAATGGGTTCAAAGTTTTAACATTGGCTGGGTGCAGTGGCTCACAGCTGTAATCCCAGCACTTTGGGAGGCTGAGGCAGGCAGATCACCTGAGGTCAGGAGTTCAAGACCAGCCTGACCAATATGATGAAACCCTGACTCGACTAAAAATACAAAAATTAGCTGGGCTTGGTGGCATGTGCCGGTAATCCCAGCTACTCGGGAGGCTGAGACAGAAGAATCACTTGAACCCGGGAGGCAGGGGTTGCAGTGAGCCGAGATCATGCCATTGCACTCCAGCCTGAGCAACAAGAGTGAAACTCAGTCTCAAAAAAAGAAAAAAAGAAAGTTTTAACATTAAAAATAAAGGCTGGTCACAGTGGCTCATGCCTGTAATTCCAGCACTTTGGGAGGCAAAGGTGGGAGGATCACTTGAGCCTTGAAGTTTAAGGCTGCAGTGAGCTATGATCATGCCATATACTCCAGCTTGGGCAACAGAGAAAGACCTTGTCTCTAATAAAATAAAATAAAAATATATAATATATGTAATTCTATGAAATATTCCCCCACCCATTGACTAGTGAATAAAAAGTGGTAATTTCCGATTAATATTAATGGTGTCAATAACAACTTTATATAATAATAATAGCATCCTACACACTTCCTGTGTTCCAGGCACTGTTTTGGGCACTTGACATTATTAATGTACATTAAGCCACCCACAAGCCTAATGAGTAGATAATATCATTTTCCCTATTTTGCAGATGAGGAAACTGAGACACAATTTTAAGTCATTTGCCTACATTGCAAAGCAGCTGAGTTATAGAGCTGGGATTCAACCTAGTCTTTGCTGCCAGCTCCATCTGACAGTTGCCTCTCAGTGGGAATTAGTTCTTTCTAGTATAATTACATGTGTTTTTGGTTTTTTATTTTGCTTTGTTTTTGTTTTGAGATGGAGTCTCACCCTGTCGCCCAGGCTAGAGTGCAATGTCATGATCTGGGCTCACTGCAACCTCTGCCTCCCAAGTTCAAGCAATTCTCCTGCCCCAGCCTCCCGAGTAGCTGGGACTACAGGCGCACGCCACCACACCCAGCTAATTTTTGTATTTTTTGATAGAGACAGGGTTTCACCATATTGGCCGGGCTGGTCTCAAACTCCTGAGCTCAAGTGATCTGCCCACCTCGGCCTCCTAAAGTGCTGGAATTAAAGAAACCACACCCAGTCTCATTTCTCTTTTGAAAAGTAGTTAATTACGAGCTCCATTAGCTAAGAAGAAGATCAATTAATTTTTAAATGGTTTCACTTAGATTGAAAAATTCAGCCAACAGAAATCAGAAATATGCATTGTAGCATTACATTCAAGCTCTATAGTTATACATTATGTTCATGTCTTTTTATCTTTATAGCATTTTCTCAGATTTTGAAAATTTTATGTTGCACATACTGCAGTTATTTCAAAGTTACTGAGATCTGTTAGACGTGAAAATTAAAAAAAAAAAAAAAAAAAAAAAAAAAAAGGCTTCTTTCCATGTTCCTCCAATGCCATTCTAATAAAGGCCCTTCTCAACACCATCTAAAATGAAATGTCCCTGTTCTGGCTCAATAATAAATAAAGGGCAATTAAAAGAAGTGATTCTGGATGGTTTCCTGAGATAAAATACTCCAGATAAAATAAGATATGTTTGAAAGGAAATTTTAATAATACTATAATCCTGACTGATCCTTCCTCAGGGAAGTCATACATTATTTACTAAGAACCACTTCCAGAAGCTTCTTTTCCATGTTTCCCAAGTCCAAATTATCTACCATGAGGGAAGGAGAGGCTTCTTCCTATACTCATGTTGAAGAATATTTGGATAGTCTTCAAGATGACACAAAATTTCCTTTAGTGTGTCTCAAATTTAAACATGCACATAATCTATGACTTAGAAATTCCACTTACAGGAATCTGTCCTACAGAAATGCTAGGATGAGGATGTGAAGATATAGGTATATTGAAAGGATGTATGTGTTTACAGTAACATTTCAGTAAATACCAAAGAACTGGAAACAAAACCAAATGTGATGGGGGGGGGGGGTGGGGTGGGAAATGAATACATGCACTGATGCATGCATCCAACTTCCAAAACATTCATTAAACAGAATACCACATAACACCTAAAGCAAGGATAGCCCTAAAGGTACTGACTTAAAGAGACATTCCAGAGATAATACTAAGGTGGCAATATGAGACAGAGAGTATATTTTCCACAAGAATATAAACATATTGGCCAGGCATGGTGACTCATGGCTGTAATCCCAGTGCTTTGGGAGGCTGAGGTGGGAGGATCACTTGAGGCCAGGAGTTCAAGACTGTATTAGTCAGTTTTCACGCTGCTGATAAAGACATACCTTAGACTGGGAAGAAAAAAAGTTTAATTGGACTTACAGTTCCACATGGCTGGGGAGGCCTCAGAACCATGGCGGGAGGTGAAAGACACTTCTTACGTGGCAGCGGCAAGAGAAAATGAGGAAGAAGCAAAAGCGGAAAACCCTGATAAACCCATCAAATCTCATGAGACTTATTCACTGTCACGAGAATAGCATGGGAAAGACTAGCCCTCATGATTCAATTACCCCCCCGCAGGTCCCTCCCATAACATGTGGGAATTCTGGGAGATACAATTCAAGCTGAGATTTGGTGGGGACATAGCCAAACCATATCATTCTGGCCCAGGCCCCTCTAAATCTCATGTCCTTACATTTCAAAACAAACCATGCCTTCCCAACAGTCTCCCAAAGTCTTAACTCATTTCAGTATTAACCCAAAAGTCCAGAGTCCAAAGTCTCATCTGAGACAAGGCAAGTTCCTTCTACCTATGAGTCTGTAAAACCAAAAGAAGGCTAGTTACTTCCTAGATATGATGGGGGTACAGGTATTGGGTAAATATAGCCGTTCCAAATGGGAGAAATTGGCCAAAACAAAGGGGTTACAGGGCCCATGCAAGTCCGAAATCCAGCAGTTAAACTTTAAAACTCCAAAATGATCTCCTTTGACTCCAGCTCTCACATCCAGGTTACGCTGAAGCATGAGGTGGGTTCCCACAGTCTTGGGCAGCTCTGCCCCTGTGCTTTTGCAGGGTACAGCCTCCATTCCAGCTGCTTTCACAAGCTGGTATTGAGTATCTGCAGCTTTTCCAGGTGCACAGTTCAAGCTGTCAGTGGATCTACCATTCCGGGGTCTGGAGAATGGTGGCCCTCTTCTCACAGCTCCATTAGGCAGCACCCCACTAAGGACTCTGTGTGGAGGCTCCAACCCCACATTTCCCTTCCACACTGCCTTAGCAGAGGTTCTCCATGAGGGCCCCACCCCTGCAGCAAACTTCTGCCTGGGCCTCTAGGTGTTTCCATACATCTTCTGAAATCTAGGTGGAGGTTCCCAAACCTCAATTCTTCACTTCTGTGTACCACAGGCTCAACACCACATGAAAGCTGCCAAGGCTTGGGGCTTCCACCCTCTGAAGCCACAGCCCAAGCTGTACATTGGCCCCTTTCAGTCATGGCTGGAGCAGCTAGGACACAGGGCACCAAGTCTCTAGGCTGCACACAGCATGGGGACCCTGGGCCCAGCCCACAAAACCATTTTTTCCTCCTAGGCCTCCAGGCCTGTGATGGGAGCAGCTGCCATGAAGGTTTCTGACGTGGCTTGAAGACATTTTTCCCACAGTCTTGGGAATTAACATTAGGCTCCTTGCTATTTATGCAAATTTCTGCAGCCAACTTGAAATTCTCCCCAGAAAATAGGTTTTTATTTTCTATTTCACAGTCAGGCTGCAAATTTTCTGAACTTTTATGCTCTGTTTCCCTTTTAAAACTGAGTGTCTTTAACAGCACCCAAGTCACCTTTTGAATGGTTGTCTGCTTAGAAATTTCTTCTGCCAAATACCCTAAATCATCTCTCTCAAGTTCAAAGTTCCACAAATCTCTAGGGCAGGGGCAAAATGCCGCCACTCTCTTTGCTAAAACATAACAAGAGTCACCTTTGCTCCAGTTCCCAACAGGTTCCTCATCTCCATCTGAGACCAACTCAGCATGGATTTTATTGTCCATTTCACTAACAGCATTTTGGACAAAGCTATTCAACAAGTCTCTAGGATGTTGCAAACTTTCCCACATTTTCCCGTCATCTTCTGGGCCCTTCAAACTGTTCCAATTGCTGCCTGTTACCCAGTTCCAAAGTCACCTCCACATTTTCGGGTATCTTTTCAGCAACACCCCACTCTACTGGTACCAGTTTACTGCATTTGTCCGTTTTCAGTCTGCTGATAAAGATATACCCAAGACTGGGAAGAAAAAGAGGTTTAATTGGACTTACAGTTCCACATGGCTGGGGAGGCCTCGGAATCATGGTGGGAGGTAAAAGGCACTTCTTACATGGTGGCGGCAAGGGAAAATGAGGAAGAAGCAAAAGCGGAAAACCCTGATAAACCCATCAGATCTCATGAGATTTATTCACTATCACAGGAGTAGCACCAGAAAGACCAGCCCTCATGATTCAATTACCTCCCCGGGGTCCCTCCCACAACATGTGGGAATTCTGGGAGATACAATTCAAGCTGAGATTTGGTGGGGACACAGCCAAACTATATCAAGGACCAATCTGGGTACCATAACGAGATCTTGTCTCTACAGAAAATAAATTCAAAAATTAGCCAGATGTCAAATCAGAAGACAGTAATACATATTATATATATACATATATAACATATTTATGGAAAAGAACAGCCAGGGATGGTGGCATGTACGTATAGTCCTAGCTACTTGGGAGTCTGAGGCAGGAAGATCACCTGAGCCCAGGAGAGCAAGGCTGCAGTGAGCTAGGATCATCATATTCCTGGACTTTAGCCTGGGTGACATATTTGCACTTATTAAAATAAAGAGAGTCCTGCAAGGGACTCACACACAACTGCAGTTACCCTTAGGGGAACAGGGAATTGGAGAGGAAGAAGGAGACTTCTTAAAAAACTTTGCATACTTCTGTGTTGTTTGAACTCATTGTAAACAAGTATTACTTTCGTAATTAAAAAAGTAATCATGGCTGGACATGGTGGCTCACATCTGTAATCCCAGCCCTTTGGGAGGCCAAGGCAGGCGGATCACCTACGGTCAGGAGTTCAAAACCAGCCTGGTCAACATAGTGAAACCCTATCTCTACTGAAAATATAAAAATTAGCCAGGCGTGGTGGCACACACTGTAATCCCAGCTACTAGGGAGGCTGAGGCAGGAGAATCACTTGAACCTGGGAGGCGAAGGTTGCAGTGAGCCAAGATTGCGACACTGCACTTGAACCTGGGTGACAAGGCAAGACTCCGTCTCAAAAACAAAAAAAAAGTAATAATAAAGCTATACTACTTCTCAGCACAAGCAAATGTGGAAAGCCTACAGTAATTTCTCCTTTTATTCATTCTGTTTGATAAGAGCAACCCTGCTGTGCCCAGAGAGGCAACTGAAGATGGGTCCCTTTATGCATGTTTGCAGGTTGGTGGCCTTGCCCATCCCACTGAGGATGCCACATGCTGAAGGGAGTAAACTGCAGAGCTTTTCAAGGAGGAGAGGGAAGGCCCCATAGGCTTCCTTGTGGGGACAGTTTGGAAAATATCACCAAGATGTGAACTGCAGTAACAGCTACCTGCCTGCTCTTCCCCAGGCAAACTGCTCGTCCAAGACCATCAGGACTCTGGCAACACCATCCACTGTGAGGGATTCATGTCATAGTCAGCCTGCAGGTCATGGTGCTGCTTAATTTAAGGCCTTACCAACAAAAGGGAAACAGCAGCCACACAAATCCTTACTTAGTGCCATCCCCATCCAACCTACCACCTTCTGTGGGCCTGATTTCTGGAGCAACCTGGCAGAGCTGCCTGTCCTGAGAACCTGGCTTAGTAAAGACTTAGCAAAGACTTCTTTGACCAAGAATGCAGGTTTAAAATGGATGCACAGGGAGTGGTAAAGGACGGGGGGGTAACACCGAGCAGCCACCCCACTGGGCTACCCCCATCCTGCCTATCTGTGCCAGAGCGGAGGTCAGACTGCCCTCATGTCTCATGCTCAGCAGACTGAATAACCTGGAGTCTTCATGGTGGCCGTGCATCCTACTCCAGTAGCCACAGAGAAGGAGAGGGTTGTAGAAGCTGGCTCACTATAACAGTCCATTTGAGGAAGATGTGGAAAAGCATGCAACAGGTACAAGGAAGCTTCTGGAAGGCATCTGATAAATTTCTGTCAACTTAGTTTGGCAACTTAGGTACAGTCCTCTTCAGAGGACTTAAAGAAGACAACACAGCACTATGGTGTCCAAGCACAGGTCTGGGGTCAGGCTGCCTAGATGGAAACCTCGGTTCTGCCCTCGCTGACTCCATTATCTTACAACACTCACCTGCTGCTCAGGCCTCAGCCTCTTGTCTGTAAAATAAGCTAACGAAAACTCAAGTCCATGGGGGGTCATGAGCAGGAAATGGAGTAACATAATTTATGTTAATCACAAAATTTAAAAACAATTTTGTTTAAAAAGGGCAAAACAACCATGAGTTAATAATTTAGGGCTTGTAATGGCTGCTGAGTGTGGCCTGACTTCACTGATACAAAAAGAAGAAAAGAAAGGGACTGTTGTTCCCTTTGCTCACAAAACATTTCCAAGAAATGAAACTGTGGTGGCAGCAAAACTGAAATACAAAAGGGAAACGTAAATGCATATAGATGGAAAATAAAATAAAGTATTAACATACCAAGAATTATAGTCTCATCAGACTTCAAAATCTAACTCAAAGTCTAGGGAGCAGTGATCCTGAAAACCTTTTTACACAGCTCTACTACAAGCCTCTTATCAGTGAAAAAAGGGTCAGCAAAACTATCTCTCCTTCTGCATGAAAATTTGACCTCCTGTTAACTAGCTAACTCGGCTCTCTGGAAATGGCAATGGCTTGTGTCAACCATGTGCGTAGGCAGCATTGCTTCTGATCTAAACAGAAGGTAGATGCTTGATGGGTAAATTGCATCTGGACTGGGAAAGCCATGTTCCAGCTTTCCTGAGTACACTGACTCCTGGAACCAGGCATGTCTCTTTCAGGGATCCTGGGGACTTTGCCAATGCAGTTGTGTCAGGAGATGTTGGCCTCTACAGAATATGAGGCTCTTAAGCCAAGGCATTGCCTGTACCTGCCCCAGGTGAATCTTGTCTCCTAGTACCTGAGCTGTGCTGTGTGAACTGCTAGCACTCCCTCTGGAAGAAACATCTGAGGATGCCCTGCCAGCAAGCTGTGGTTCCCCTGCAATGTCATCCTGAATAGACTCACACCAAGAGCCGAGCATATGAATGTCTTGAGTCAGAATGTTGAGTGGAACCTTATATGACCCCTTGGTAGGTGTTCCAGCTTCTCAGTTTAGGCAACCTCTCTCATGTACACTACAAACCATTTATTCTCCTTATTGTAATTGTCACAGTTAACATTCAGAGCACAAGTACTGTGTACCAGGCATTGTGACTGTTCATGCACTATATGGTTCATTCTCAAAATGACACCTAGGTAAGTGTCATTATCTCACTATCTCATTTCAGAGCTGAAGATTCTGGGGCATATCTTGGGGTTTCCTTAGCAGGTGGAGGGGCCAGATATGGGAAGAAGCAGGGAAAAGGCAGGCAAAGAGAGAGAAGGAAAAAAAGATTGCACTAAAAACAAATAAATAACAAGTGTCACTCAATGCATGTATTTATGTGCATGCCTAAGAACTGCCCTATACAGTGAGCTGAAACTCACAGCATAATTCAGCACAAAGGACATAGTAACGGGGAAGCTGCTATTAAGCAAAGGCAGACAGTAAATGCAAAAGGTCAAACAGTAAACAGAGGCAAGCACTTCCAACATAGATTATACAGGTTGAGTGAACGACAGCCTTTTTTTTTTTTTTTTTTTTGAGACAGAGTCTTGCTCTGTCACCCAGGTTGCAGTGCAGTGGCATGATCTTGGCTCAATGCAACCTCCACCTCCAAGGTTCAAGTGATTCTCCGACCACAGCCTCCTGAGTAGCTGGGATGACATGTGTGTGCCAGCACATCTGGCTAATTTTTGTATTTTTAGTAGAAACAAGATTTCACCATGTTGGCCAGGCTAGTCTCGAACTCCTGGCCTCAAGTGATCCACCCCCCTCGGCCTCCCAAGGTGCTGTGATTACAGGTGTGAGCCATCACACCCAGCTGAATGGCAGTCTTTCATATGTGTGTCCCAGAGGAACACTGAGCCAAAGTCACTACATCTCTGGCCTTTGGAGCTCCACCCATCCAGAAAGGGAAAGAAACCTTCCCCACTGTCTCATTCTAAAATTCAAAGAACGAAGGTACACACATACATACCTATCTGCCTATATGTATATGCACATGTCAACACATACATGTACAGATACATTCGCACCCATCCACATATTCGCGGGTGTGTATATTGAAAAGTATGTGTCTTTGAAAATTCTGTTTCACAACATCAGAGTCACACACTGATACAAGGGAAAGACAGTACTGAAGCGGAGAGCACATTCATACTTACAGTGTCCCACATCACGATGTACACGTCAGTACTGAATGAGTTATTAACGTGCTGAGTAAGATAAAGATTGATGAAATCACAGAAGTGGTGATACATGTTAACACCTAGTGTTGGAAAATGAAACTACATTAATTAACACCAAAGAGTACATGATCAAGCAAGTTTTATTCTATCCCATCTATTTACGGTTTAAGAGAATTTTAGTTGAAATAAATGGGGGAAAAAATAACTGTTTTGTTTTTCCAAACATGAAATGATCTAGATACATAGGTAGTCCTCAATTTACAGCCTGATTGGGTTTCAAAAGTCACTCTAAAATTGGTTATTTAAAATCAGGAATGCATTTCCCCATATATCCCAAGTAACAAGTGATCATTAAGTTCCCAGAAAAAAACAAGGTAGGTCTATTTAACTCAAAACCGAGTTGAACTACAGGGCCAGGAAGACAACTCATATTTCTTCTGACTTTATTTATTTTTTTTATCAGGGGTAGGGTCTTGCTATGGTGGCATGTGCCACCATGCCTAGCTTGATCGTTTATTTTTTAAAGTCAATTAAGGGGCCAGGCGCAGTGGCTCACACTTGTAATCACAGCACTTTGGGAGACTGAGGCAGGCCAATCACTTGAGGTCAGGAGTTCAAGAACAGCCTGGCCAACATGGTGAAATCTCGTCTCTACTAAAAATACAAAAATTAGGCGGGCGTGGTGGCGCCTGCCTGTAATCCCAGCCACTCAGGAGGCTGAGGCAAGAGAATTTGCTTCAACCTGGGAGGCGGAGGTTGCAGTGAACCAAGATCACACCACTGTACTCCAGCCTGAGTGACAGAGTGAGACTCCATCTCAAAAAAAAAAAAGAAAAAGAAAAAGAAAAAAAAGCAATTAAGCAACATCTGTTCATCATGGAAGTATTGGCAATGATGGCAACTAACATTTTGGTAATTTTCATTCCTGTCTCTTTTTTCCCTATTTAATTATTATATATATCATTCCAGGAAAAACATTAACCAACTATCATATAAAAGAGGTGAATGTCTTGTGTTCTGATTGAAAGAGAAGGAATTCTGGAGTAAGAAGGTGAATTCCAGCCCAGCCATGCATGTGCAACATTGTTAGATGAGTTCATCAAGTCCCTAAGCTTTACCTTCTCTATAGAAATGGGAAATAGTTACCTAAGTGCCAGCTTTATTATGAGAAAGCCAAAGATAATACATTTTAAAGTACCCATCCCAGTGCCAGGCACATAGGAAGACCTGAATGAAGACTAGCTGGATCCCACTAGGTCAGATAGAGTGGAGAGGGCTGTGGGTGTCACTATTTGTAAGTTCACATTCCACTCATTAAAAAGAAACAGAACGTGCACCCTCTCCACTTAGGTATGCAGGACTCAATATTCATCTTGGAAATGTACAAATCTAAATGGGATGAAATTCCAAGAACTGACACTTAGAGCATGCATTTTAAAGGTGGGAAAACGTTAAGTAAAAAAAAATCAGGGAGTCTCAAAAGCAGAAATCATAAAATATTCTAACTTCATTCCCACAGTGAATAATAACATTGTGTGCCAGAAATAACAGTATAAAAATACTCTGTTTTTTTCAGCCTGGTTATCTTAGATGATTGTTTGGAAGGGCTAATTTTTTCATCCAGAAAAAAACCTGGCAAAGAATGTATTTTCAAATTAACAAGAAAAATAAAGTTCTATCAGAATCCATCCTCTTTTCCCAGGTTAGCCATAGAGCACACACAAGCTCTTTCACATAACATTTAATGAGTTCCTAACAGTTACTGAGGAATGCAGCAGGCACCAATCAGTGCTTGGGGCTGCAAGAATTTATAAACAGAGAAGAAAACATAAGCTCCATCCTTGAGAAATGTGCCCCCTAATGAGTCTTGATCTGTAGAATTCTCATTTTCCTAAGGTACAAGTTAACATGAAAAGGAAAACTGAACCAAGCACAGTTACACCTGTAATCCCAGAACTTTGGGAGGCCAAGGCAGGAGGATCACTTAAGCCAAGGAGTTCAAGACCAGCCTGAGCAACCTAGTGAGATCTCGTCTCTAAAAAAATATTTTAAAAATTAGCCAGGCATGGTGGTGCATGCCTGTGGTCCCAGCTACTTGGGAGGCCAAGGTGGGAGGATCACTTGAGCCCAGGAGGTTGAGGCTGCAGTGAGCTGTGATCATGCCACTGTACTCCAGCCTGGGCAATAGAGCAAGACCCTGTCTCTAAAGAAAGAAAAGTAAAATTGGAAGACAGCATAATTTAGAAGAAAAAAAGTAGAGTTACGAATATAGGAAAGAAATGGGACATGTCTACTCTAGCCTATTATTCTCACTTTATATACTTTATTGTATAAGTATCTGCATAAATTTAATAGCTCACACATATTTGCCACTTTTACAGACAGTTCAGTGTTTTTTTTGCCCCTTTTTAACTTCATATTTTAAAAACGAGTCAAAACCTGGAACATAGCATTTTTACTTGCTCTTAGTTCAAAAACCTAAACTTGTCTGATTTCTGAATTTAATACTTTGTAATATAAGAATTATGACTTCAGAAGGCAGAGCACATTAAAACTATGATCAATAAATTATAGTAATTCTGAAATATGTGTGACAGAGGCTCTCTATATTTCACTGTAAACCCAACCTCTCATGAATTTTGATATGATCTAGCACAGTAATCCCTCTCTCTCATAATGAGAGAAACAATATAGTACAATCTGTGTTTCTCCTCTCCAGTGTAACTAGTTCGCAAAGTTAAAGCTCTACTTGCAAGCTGAGAAAGAGGCTATAAGTATAAATGATAAAATAATTTTAATCTTATTTCAAGAATAAATTACACTGGTAACTTCCAGAAGAATTTTAAGTTCACTTTAGTCATGGAAATTACATAGAAGGTTTGCTAGCACAGGTCATGGACACTTCTTTCCCACCCATACTATACACATGGCTTTTAATATTTTTTAAAATTTATTTTTTATTTTTAAGACGGAGTCTTGCTCTGTCACCAGGCTGGAGTGCAGTGGCGCGATCTTGGCTTACTGCAACCTCTACCTCCTGGGTTCAAATGTTTCCCCTGCTTCAACCTCCTGAGTGGCTGGGACTACAGGCGCCCACCACCACACCCAGCTAATTTTTTGTATTTTTTTAGTAGAGATGGGGTTTCACCATGTTGGCCAGGATGGTCTTGATATCCTGACCTCATGATCGGCCTGCCTGTGCCTCCCAAAGTGCTGGGATTACAGGCATGAGCCACCGCGCCCAGTCCGGCTTTTGATTTTAAACATCTTTTAATGAAAGACAATCTAAACCAAGTGATTAGAGAAACGAGACGGGGTAAATTTAGTTACAAAAGCATAAATATGCCTTCATCTCTCATTCTTTGATTTTGGTTAAGTCCTTTGATACAAATGTGAAGGTTTATTCTAAAATGCCAAACGTGTAAAATAATGGGAAGTTCAAACTAGTTCAACTACTTCTTCAGAGAAGAAAGCAAAAAAACAAATCTACTGTTTGTCATACTGCCTCCAAAAAATTCATAGAGAATTACTGCATCCAAAAAAAGGAATAATATCTCATTAACAAATACACAAATAACAGACAAATTAACTTCTCACCTGCATCTAATTTCATGAAATATGTTGGTTTTTCAATGACAATGTCACATTTAGCATCTTCTATAGGTGTGAAGTTGAGCTGAGTATAGCTTTGTAGCTCAGCAAACCTGAAATTATGAATTGGGATATGACTTTAAACTGATTCTCCCAAACTTCCTATTACAACATTGTAACTTAGGATCTGTTCATTAGGCAGATTTTACCTCTAGTTGGTAGAGACACTCCTACAGACACCTGTAACTTCTAAAACTTACTGACATTTATATAGGTTGATATCAATTTTAATGTTAGGACAAAGAACACACCAGGTGCGGTGGCTCACGCCTGTAATCCCAGCACTTTGGAAGGCAGAGGCAGTCCAATCACGAGGTCAGGAGATCAAGACCATCCTGGCCAACATGGTGAAACCCCATCTCTACTAAAAATACAAAAATTAGCTGGGCATAGTGGTGAGGGCCTGTAGTCCCAGCTACTCAGGGGGCTGAAGCAGGAGAATCACTTGAACCCGGGAAGCAGAGCTTGCAGTGAGCCGAGACCGCGCCACTGCACTCCAGCCTGGGGACAGAGCAAGACTCCGTCTCAAAAAAAAAAAAAAAAAAAAAAGACAAGGAACAAAAATGATTTAAAATTCAGTCTTATGTGCAAGATAGTTAGATTGGGAACTTACCACACGAAGAAGTTATTTATATATCGGGTTGTCTAAATAACCTACCAGTAAAAAAAAGGAGAAGACTCAAAAGATTTCCCAACAAGGCTCAAAAAGAACAATGAGCCAGAGGAACTCTTGACAGACTTCTTGGATTCTGAGAAACAGCATTCCAGGAATCACCCAGTGCCTCAGAAAGACAGCAGAGACAGCTAAGTGTCCCAGAAGAAAGGAAGTTTATCTCTTGGAAAACATCTTTGGAAGCCACACAGCACAATTCTCCTCCAAACAAAAGAAGACAATCCCAAGCATGGATCATCTGTACCTCTTCCTTAAGATCATACCTCATGTAAAACAAATATCAAATAGATCCTTTTAAAACACAACGCCAACATAGTGTGGTGGTTTCAAACATAGGTCTACAAACTCATTAAAACCTCTCCCTTCAAGAGGAAGAAGTTAATTCCCTCCCTTTAAGAGTGGGCTGGACTTAGTGACTCACTCCTAACAGGCAGAATACAGCAGAACTGATGGTAGGACACTTCTGGGATTAAGTTATACAAGTACTGTGGCTTCCATCTCAGAGCATGTACTCCCTCAGACCATGTGCTCCTGGGAAAGCCAGGAGCCACACTGTGAGCAGCAGCAGGGAAGAGGCCCATATGATCAACACTGAAGTCCCTGGCCAAGAGGAGACAAGGCTTACAACAACAACCTGGGTGAGTTTAGCAGCACATTCCCCAGGCCCAGGTTGAGTCTAGAGATGGCTACAGCCCTGGCCAACTCAGCCAAGCTGCTCCCAAACCCTGACCCTCAGAAGCATTCTGAGATAATAAATGTCTGTATTTTAAGCTGCTAAATTTTAGAGTGATTTGTTATACACAATAGGTAATAAATACAAATATACCCTAGGGTACACTTTGGAATAACCTGTCACACAGCAATAAGTAACTAATACAATTAAGCCCTGTGCAACTACCATGTGGAATCAAATATCAAAAAGTACCAGGAATCAAAAAGCCCACTTGATTATAGAAACTACCTCTTGTAAAAGTCTGCTAAGTGACTTGAGAGACTGCATTGCAGACTGCAAAATGCCAGATAAATGTGTGGTAGATTATTATTCTGAATGATCTGCAGCCAAGCAGTGAGGTCTCTTTAAGGGGGGGAAAAAAAAAAGTTTGCTCAGCATGTTTTTGTTTTTGTTTTTGTTTTTGTTTTTGAGACAGGGTCTTGGTCCATCACCCACGCAGGAGTGCAGTGATACAATCATAGCTCACTGCAGCCTCAACCTCCTGAGCTCAAGCAAACCTCCCAGCTCAGCCTCCCAAGTAGCTAGGATTATAGTGGCGTGCCACCTCACCCAGCTAATTATTTTTTATTTTGTAGAGATGAGTTCTCATCCTGTTGCCCAGGCTGGTCTTGAACTCCTGGCCTCAAGTAATACTCCTGCCCTGGCCTCCCAAAGTGCTGCAATTATAGGCATGAGCTGCCATTCCTGGCCTTGACATGGATGTTTGACCTTGAAAATTAACATTATGTAAGTAACCTATGTGACTACACAGGAGTAGCAGGAGAGTTTCTTTGGGATGATGGAACGATTCTGCATCCTGATTATGGTGGTCCCCATCCCCACCTCCCCCTCCCCCTTCCTCTACCGCTCCCTACCTACACACCGGCACCTACACACATGATAAAATTTTAATGAGTGCAGGTAATTGCTGGTGAAACCTGCACAAGTTAATACTACTGTACCAATGTCAATTTCATTGTTGTGATCATTGTGCCACGGTTACATGACATATTATCATTAGAGGAAGCTCAGGGAATTAGACAATGTACAAGTTCTCCTTGTACTATGATATGGTTTGGCTGTGTCTCCACCCAAATCTCATCTTGAATTGTAGCTCCCATCATGGGAGGGACCCAGTGGGAGATAGCTGAATCATGGGGGTGGGTTTTTCCTGTGGTTTTAGATCTGATGGTTTTATAAAGGGCATTTCCCTCTGCACACACTCTCTTGCCTGCTGCCATTTAAGACATGCCTCTGTTCCTCCTTTGCCTTCTACCATGATTGTGAGGCCTCCCCAGCCATGTGGAACTGTCAGTCCATCAAACCTCTTTCCTTTAAAAATTACTCAGTCTTGGGTATATCCTTATAGTAGCTTGAGAACGGACTAATACATACTATTTTTTAACTTCTATGAGTCTAAAATTATTTTAAAATAAAAATTTTTTAAATGCAAAAAGCTGGCCAATGATGTTAACAGTCAGAGTAGCATTGACCTTTGGAGAGGGGGATGGGGGTAGAGCCTGGAAGGGAGCCTGGGGTGCGCACAATGTTCTATTTTTGGACCTGGGTAAAAGTTACATGGGTGGGTTCACTTTTTCACAATCCAAACTGTACCTTTTTCTGTATGCTTGTTACATATTTTAATATATGTGTATTGTTTTTTAAATGTGTTCCCCAAAAGACATTTTTATTTTTTAGAGATGAGGTCTCATCATGTTGCCCAGGCTGGCCTTGAACTCCTGGGCTCAAGGAATACTTCTACCTTGGCCTCCCAAAGTGCTGCAATTATAGGCATGAGCCACCATTCCTGGCCTTGGCATGGACGTTTGACCTTAAAAATTAACATTATGTAAGTAACCTATGTGACTTTGTAAGTGAATAAAACTCAGCAATTGGGAGTTAATAAAAATGGATTTTTGAGCTGATTTTTTTCTTTCATTAGCAAACAGTAGGTACTATATCTACTATTATAAACACATATTTAATTCAGATGCAGCTGAGGGATTCACTCGGTTTCTGTCACTTCCCAGAAGCTCATGCCAAATTATGTACAAATGAAGTAACATTTTCCATTTGAGAGTCCCCATTAATATCTACAAGTGCCAAAAATAAAGGCAAATATTTCTGAAACAGACATGTTAAAAATATCTTACCATGACTGCAGAGGGCTTTTGCGCTGACCTTCAGACATCAATGTACGGATGTCAAGTTGACAGTGCCCTCCAATTTCACCACTCTGGAAAAAGTCCTCCTTAAATCTGGTGTATAACAAAACATTAAGGAGAGTTCAGAAAATTTCTTCACGACCCAAGCACGTGGGTTGTAGCTAAAGAGGATTACCAATTTCCAAATTCAATTTTTTAAAAGAATTCAACTATTTATAATAGAAAATTTCAAGTGTATATGAAAGTAACAGAATCATATCAGGACCTAATGTATCTACAACCCAACTTTGCGATGCGATCTGAGTCATCCATCCCCCATCCATTCCCCAACCCCTCTGCCATATCATCAAAAACAAATTCAAGAAATATCCCTGCAGCCAGGCCTGGTGGCTCACACCTATAATCCCAGCACTTTGGGAGGCTGAGGTGGGGGGATCACTTGAGCTCAGGAGTTTTAGACCAGCCTGGGCGATGCTGGGAGACCCCATCTCTTCAAAAATTAAAAAACTAGCCAAGCTTGGTGGTGCACTTGTGTAGTCCCAGCTACTTGAGAGGCTCAAGTGGGAGGATCACTTGGGTTTGGGAGGTCACAGCTGCAGTGAGCCATGATTACACCGCTGCACTTCAGCTTGGGCAACAGAACAAGACCCTGTCTCAAAAAAAAAAAAAAAAAAAAAAGTCCCTGGATCTGAAAATATTTCACAATTTATATTAGATGTTAACATTAACCACTTAAGTACCTGTCATGATTTCTCTTGATGTTTCTTAAATCAAGGTAGAGATTGGTTGCTCTGCAGTACTGAAGGTAACGGGAACACATCAGACTTGAGTCACTCTGAAGGTTGTGCAAAAGAAAAAAATAACCGTAAGTATTAACACAGCAAAGACTCACCCAGACTTGCTGGACATGTTGACAGCATGGATACCCTCACGTTCGAACCACACGACGTGACAAGGAAAGCTCTCCAAAGACTGCATCTGCTGAAGGATATTTTCTCCTTCCCAGCCGACCCTGGCCAAGCATACTTTTGCCAGTTTCCTACTTTTAAGGTACTATGGAGAACTCCCAAACAATCTGTCGCCTCAAATTTTAAAACCAAGAGCTGTATAGGTGGCTCAGTTCAGTCCCCTTTAAAAGAAAAAAAAGCACCCAGAAACAGTACTACTACCCCCACAGCTATGTGAAAAAGCAGCTTCCAAAAGGAAGCCAAAAAAACAAGGAAAAATGCACACGTAAGAGACATTAAAAGCGGGGAGGGAAGTTTGTCAGTTTTAATAAGAGGTACTTTCTGCAAACCGTAAAGCTTGTGGGAGCCTCTATCTCAACAGCAACATGAGGGCAATATTTTCTAAATAATTGAAGAAAGGAATTGAAGAGTCAGCTACCAGAGTCTGATTCTATTTCAACCAATCTGGGTTGTGCTGAGAGCTTCAAAAACTTTTATCTGCTCTGGGTTTTATTTATCGATTTAAATGTCATTTTAATTGTTTTTCCCATAACTCCCAATGAACACAAAGCCTTAATCTTGACCTGCATGGCGTTTTGGAGTCTGTAGTTGGTAAAAGATTGCAATGGACTGAATGTTTGTGTCTCTGCCAAATTCATATGTTGAAATTCTAACCCCCAATGTGATGATATTGTTTAGAAGCCACCCAGTCTATGGTATTTTGTTATAACAGCCCAAACAACTAAGACAAGGATCATACTCTGCTAGCACAAAGCAAATCAAGGTAAATCTTAGCCAAAAGAACATTCTACAAGCCATCTTGAAAGAGGCGTGCAAGATAGGGGTTGTCATTCTTCTCTTGCCTTTTCCACGTGAACAGCTAGACTTGAGCCAAGTGTGCAAGACAGAACAGAACTCTGTTAAAGATACCCTGCAGCCGTGCAGTTTAATGGCATGCCTCACATCCTCAGGCCTCATTCTCCTTGCTAGAATGCTCAAAGCTCTATGACGTGACACCCCCCAGTAGCTCTATAAAGCATATAATCAGTTTTTGAATGTGAGTAAATTAAAAAATTTTTTAGGTCCCCAGTGCGGTTGGAGATTGGAGACCCCTGAGATGTCAGAGACTCAGGGTTCAGGATCATTGAGTTAAAGAATAGTGTACCTTAATCGTAAGTGCTTACAACTTCATCAACCTTTAAAAAATAATGCTGAGCCCTTTGCTGGGAATCAGGCCCTGCTGCACTGAGCATTTTTATCTGCAGCACCTCATTTCTTCCTTACCATATACTACATAATGGTCATGGCTTTAAGGCAGAGGAAATTGAAACAAGGAAAGCCTAAGTACCTTGTCCAAGACTCAGGATCTGAGTTGTAGTTGAGAGCCTGCTCTTGTATTTACTACCCCAAACCACCTCTGGACAACGTGTTTATCTGATCCACTGAGGTACAATATGGTATGGTTGAGAGTAAACTGGAAAAAACCTGCATTTTAATCCTAGATGTATAATTAATTATAAAGGGCAGCTGTGCAGTCTTGGAGACGTTGCTTAACTCCTCTGAGGACCCTGTTTTGCACACTGATAAAGTGGCATCAGTAGTATCTGCTATAACGCTTATGAGCATCAAACCAGATAACATATATAAAAGCTTTCTGCAAACTGTAAAGCTCTGGGCAAACATAGAGCAGTATGGTGGTATTATATCATCTGTCCCAAACTATCTGAGAATAAATTTGTAAAGATGCAATTTATCAACTTCTCTTCTTTAGCGTATGTTTGGGGGAAAGATTCTAAACCTAAAAATATTTCGACTGTCTTAAAATATGACTATCTGATAAACGTGGGATAAGGAGGACAGGATTTCCAAAGGAAAGGGAACAACCTATTTAGGAAAGTTACATAAAATTCTAAGCCAATAACTAAGTGAGAGTGAGGAATTCCTTTCATAGTGCCGTCTATCTTATTTTTACATTACAACCTAAATGATAAATATTAAAAATCAATAATAAATAATAAAAATAAAACAGCTTGGTTGGACACAGTGGCTCACGCCTGTAATCCCAGCACTTTGGGAGGCTGAGGTGGGCGGATCCGTTGAGGTCAGGAGTTCGAGATCAGCCTGGCAACATGGCAAAACCCTGTCTTTACTAAAAATACAAAAATCAGCTGGGAGGGGTGACACACGCCTGTAATCCTAGCTACTCAGGAGGCTGAAGTAGGAGAATCCCTTGAACTCGGGAGGCAGAGGTTGCAGTGAGCCAGGATTGTGCCACTGCACTCCAGCCTGGGCAACAGAGAGAGACTCCGTCTCAAAAATAAATAAAATTAAAATTAAATAAACAAGCTTATTTAGTAAGGAGCGAAATACCCACCGTTTCCTTAGGCTGACAGAGCACATGCATCTCCTCCAGCCTCTCTCTGGCATATCCAAAGTCAGCCTGTTTCCAGAATATGTCCTCAGCTGACTCAAGAGTGTCCGTCCTATTTGCAAACAAAAATATTCTGTGGTTTTTTCTTTTTACTTTTTTTGGACCTTGAATTTTTATTCTAAAGGCTAAAATGCTAAAGGTTCCTTATTACTTTAATTTTATTACAGTATACTATCATCATAGTTTTTCCAAAACTATGCCTCACTACATGAAATTACCAAACTAAGTTATTCACAGAATTATTCCCTTATCATAAAAATATGTAACAGACATGTATGAAGTTATCCCCTGAAACTGAAGACAATGACGCATTCTTAATTACTATGTTTTCTTTACCACATTAACACTGCATGTATTAGAAGTACTAATTACACTTAATTCTCCCAGGAAGAATCAAGAGGAAACCATCCATTTATCTTCTTAGTATACACTGGGGGAAAACATCATCTATGGTCCCGGCTGTTTCTCCCTCTGGCAGAGGAAATGACAGATATTCCTATCCCAGTGTGAAATAGTCAAGTTGAATTCATGACTGTGTAAGCAAATTAATATCTAAATGAATTACTATCTAAAACCAAAAGAATGCAGCTAGAAATTAGGGCATCAACATACACTGTATAGAAAGAAGAAGACTTGAAGAGGGTATTCCATATGGAAACTTACCATCCCATGTCGACATAGCTGCAAACTGGGTAACCAAACCTGAACTCTGGTTTACAGGATTTCTCATAACCCCAGCAGTACTTTAGCTTTTCTAGGTGTTTCTAGAACATAAAACTTACATTGATTTCCCTTCTTCTGACATTTAGAGAAGACTCTTACATTTTTCCATTAAGAAAACAAATCATTACAGAGCATTCATATTTACATTTTATAATATGTCATCCTATCATAATAAATTTAAAACTTACAGTTAATTCTAAAAAGAGCAGTCTCAAGGTTCTTAACAATCCTCCTTCCTCATCACCCCCACCATATCTGTCCCCTAACCAAAAGTCTGGGCTTTACCTAGACGCTCAAAGACCACTTGAATTTGAATTTCTTGAAGTAGCTTAAGAAACTGCCTTTCTCAGTGAGCAAGCAGATTCTAAAATCAGTCCCTACAAGACATATAAACTGGAATTTGTGCTACCAAAGGAATCACAGCTAAAGTGAATGAATCAGCAACTTCACTCAGCAATCAAGATCAGCAGAGACCCCACAACACATGGACAACTCTGCCACCCTTGGGAACCACCCAGCTGCTGCTGGACAAGGAGCTCAGAATGCTCTTCTGCACGGTCCCAGGAGCGACGCTGGTCTGGTTCCCAAGTCTGCTTTTCCATATGCTTCCTGTGCCAGCACCATGGGAAAGGAAGTGTCTCACAATGCCCAGCTTTGATCTCTGAGGCCCTGTGAGATGTCTTAATGGGCTCCTATTTGAGACCTTTCCAATTCCTCTAAAACAGAAAGAAAGCCACAGTAACAGGCTTAATTATGTGGAGTCAGAGGCTGAGGTGTCATTACTGAAATTAAGTGCTAAGCGATCCTCTTATGTGCCATTTAAGAAAGAAGAGGTGTGAAATTCTTTAGTTACTTTAAACAAGATGTTCTTTCCTGCATAAAATCTAACTGCTTCTTTACAGAGTTTACAAATAGTATGGCTACTTGTTTTAGAAGTGATTTCGGTTTTAAATTTCTCTCTTACGAATGGGACATAATTTTAAGCAGTTTAGTCACTTAGAAGTATTATATGAAACTGAAACAATGATTAACTTACACAGTGACAACCAAAAATTAGAATTCTACCTTCAGCTTCAGGTTATAAAGCAGAACCAGTAAGCCAGCCAAAATTGCATCCTCATAAAAATAAGGAAAGAAGAAATAATACCTACCTTATATGGACAAAGAGAGTCTTTCTTACAGACAGTGGCAATATGCCTATTGTTGTGCAAAAAGAAGGGAATGTGCTCCTCTGGCAAGCGGATACTGGCATAGTTATACAGAGGTTCGCCTGGAATGCTGTGAGTGTTAGGAGGAGCTTCATTCTGATCACTCAGTGGGACTTCATGAAGTAAGACTCCAAAGACAAACAATATTAACATAGCAACCTGCAAACCTAGAGATTAAATTGAAGACATCTTTGTTAACGAATTTCCTTTAAAAGCCAAAACAACAACAACAACAACAACAACAACAAAAGGAAAAGCTAAGTATAATTACAAAGCACTTTGCTATCCCACTGAGTAATGTTCCTTTATTAAATTTTCTTTTAGCACTTGCTTGATGCCAGGCACCACATTAGCAAATAGGTATTCAGAGGTGAACAAAACAAGAAAGAGCCTGGCTTTTACGGTGCCTTTAAACCTAGTACGACTGTCGTAAACAAGCAATCAAATAAATAAACAACTTCAGCTGATGACTGGGCCTGTGACTCAAACCAACTAGGGGCCAGCAAACTTTTCCTGTAAAGGAGAAGCAGTAAATATTTTTGGCTTTGCCAGACATAAGATCTCTGTGACAACTACACAATGCCTCTGTCCAGAAAGTAGCCATGGTCTATTATAAAAGAAAGGATGAGGCTGTGTTCCAATAAAACTTTTTAACTTACAAAAATTATGGAAGGGCTTGATAGGATCCAGTTTAGTGATACCTGAAATAAAATAAAGCAATATGATAGACAACGTAGCATGGTGGTTAAGAACCTGAACCTTTAAAGCTTAACCACCTGGATTTGAATCGCAGCTTCCCAGCTGTTAAGACTTGAACAAGTTACTTAACCTTTCTGCACCTAAGCATTCCCCATCTGTAAAATGGAAATAATAATAAACCTTCATTGTAGAGCTGTCGTGAGTTAAATGAGTTAATTATTGGTAAAGTGTTTAGAAAACTATCTGGCACACACTAAATGCTATGGAAGTGTTTATTAAATAACTGTTTAAAGCCATGTGGGGCAGAAAAGGGGCCCAAATAACATTGGAGCAGAGATCTGAATAATGAGTAGGGGAAAAAGCATCGGTGAGAGAGCAAAGGGAGTGGGATGGCTCCAAACAAGTGTGTGTCTGCTGAATAAAAAATTATAATCACAATCAAGGTGTGAGCACAATGTTCCAGGAGCTCTTCTGAACCCAGGATACAGCAAAGAAGATGCATTCATGAACTAAACTCATTGCCCTTATGAAGCTTACATGCTAGTAGGTATAATAATCAGCTATGATAATAGCTAAGACTTAGAAACTCCAGGAGTGATATTAAGCAGTCTGCGTCAAAGACTGCGCCCTTAAACTCTCCCTTCACGCCTCTACATTGTGAACACTGACAATGGTCACAAACCTCACTGCACTTCTAACTCACCCAGTAAGTGTTAAATCTCTTAGACCAGATTTCTCCTATATATCCCAGACAATGATCCTGCCATTCTCAGATCACTTTAGTGGGATCTTTGTTCTATTTTTTGTTTTGTTTTGTTTAAGTGGTCTTTCCACTGGATGACAGAGTCTTAATATACATTGGATGTTCATCAGCTAGGACTGCTGTTTCCTGGGTCATGCTGGAAAACCCATGTTTTGAAATTAGTCTTCATTGATTATGGGCTGTGAAGATGGAGCCTTTAGAAACAGACTGCAGGCCCAATGCGGTGGCTCATCCCTGAAATAGCAGCACTTTGAGAGGCCGAGACTGGCAGATAAGCTGCTTGACTCCCTGAGTTTGAGATCAGCCTGGGCAACATGGTGAAACCCGGTCTCTGCTAAGAATACAAAAAATCAGCTGTACTCCCAGCTGAAGCGAGGGGATCGCTTTAGCCTGGGAAGTCAAGGCTGCAGTGACTAGTGATCTCGCCACTGCACTCCAGCCTGGGCAACGCCAGGGAGACCCTGTCTCAAAAAAAAAAAAAAAAAAAAAAAGAAAGAAAGAAAGAAAGAAAAATGGAAACTGACTGCTATGTTCCATCAAACCTCAAGTTCCAAGGCCATGGAATTCTAAGTGAACAGTGGGGACACCCAGAAGAAATCCTTTTTCCCCCATTTCTCCCCCCGGAGTAGTTAAGTACTGTGGATTTTCACTTTGGCAGCCCTCAAGAGTATGGTGTTACCTGCTGTAAATCTGATCTGAATTATAATAATATTTTCACTTGGGGCTTTTACCCAAGAATGAGTTGACAGTAGTGTTATAAAAATTTAAAAACACATATTCATAGTAACAATGACTCTACTTAAAATAAAAACATTTACCTCTTGAATCCTCAGAACCACTCAGAAGCTTCTGTGATGTTTCAGGTCTCTAAAACCTGTCAGAAATGAAACATATTACCTTAAAAGGATGCTAAAGTAAACTTGATCATTCAGGTGATGTTGTGAATTAAAGGAAATATTAAGAAAGAAAATAATGTAAGGGGATAACCCTCAGCCAGAAGGCCTGGCCGGTGGTGCGCTTTCTTTTCCTTAATGAATACCACACTGCTAACCGAGTTCACAGGCACCACCCCCAACACAGCAACTCTGACCAGATTCCAATGGGGAACAGGAGGAGGTGGCCCACTTTCTACAGGCATCCACTGGAACTGGCCAACAGGATACTTAGTGGATCAAACATTCTCAGGAGCAAACAACTTTCCCATTCTCACAGCAGTAATCCCCGTTGGCTGAATCACAGTGCTACCCACCTAGAGTGGCGAGCCTGAGGGTTCCCAGGCCTTCCTATTTTTTGAATTGTCCTTCCCGGTAATAAAGTCATTGTTATGACCAAGACCTGACCCTTGTTATCCAAGTCCATTGTCCTCCAGTGAGCTCTGGCCATCACTATACTCACCGATCAGTTGAGAAGTAACGCTCAGGCGATGGAAAAAATCTAAAGACGCAGATCAGAAAGCTGGCTTCTGGCGACGGCATGTACCCACTTGCATAAGGCGGGTGGGGGTGGCTGCCGGGCCTGGCACAAAGCCTTCCTGGTGTCGGTCCTCCTGCAAGGCCCGCGGGGATGGGTGGCTGCACTCCTCCAGCACAGGGACGCTTTGGTGGCCAGGCTACTTTTCCTTCAGCTCAAAGCAGCTGGACTCACTCCACTCCAGAAACCCTTGATTCGATTTCCACAGGCCTAATGAGGGAGGGAAAAAGGGAAACATCTGAAAGATGATGGATAGGAAGCAAAACCTGGGGCTGACACAGCGGGCGAAATGGGGCAATGCTGCAGAGCGACAAAGCTTGGAAAAGTTTAAAGAAGGCAGTGGGCAAATGGAAAGTTCAACACGTGAGACTCCGAATGACTCCTCAACGGCTGGCCCCCACTTGAGCCAAAAAGTCTCTCGGCGGGTGCCAGGCAGGGCTCAGGAAGTGCTCGGCTGCCCGAGAGCCCAGCTGTCCGCTTGAACGTCAGTCCCGGCCCAGGGCTGAGGGATCAGCGGGGAGCGCCCCGCCGCGGCTGAGACGACGCGCTGGGCTTCTGGACCGTGGGTGCTGCCAGGGGCTGCTTTGGGGGTGGAGATCTCCCGGGACCGCCGGCCACCCTGCACCGCGGCGCCCCGGGTCCGCAGCGCGCCTGGGAGGGGCCCCGGGGAGCGGCTCCGCCCCGGTTGGAAACCTGGTTAACGCGGCTAGGGCCCGGGCTCGCCTGTGCTCCGGACGCAGGGAAGGGGCCGTGCACCCGGGGCCGGGGAGGGCCAGGATCGGCTTCCGACGCCCGCCTCCCAGCCCGCAGGGAATGGGAAGGCGCGGGCTGAGTGCGTGCGCAGGCTATAGCCCTCCGGGAAGCCGCGCCGGGAGCTGGAACCACGCGGGGCAGGAGCGGCGCAGAGCGCGGCCGCGGCAGGAAGGAGAGCGGGGGAAGGCTCCGCAGACTGCGGGCGAGTCCCACCTGGAGCCGCGGCAGCCGTGACTATCGAGGAGGAGGTGGAGGAGACTGCGGCTGTTGCAGAAGAGGGAGTCGTCATAACCGGCTACTGCCGCTCACCGGAAACCTCGGGCGCCGGAGCTGGGCCAGGGGGCGCCAAGGAGCAGCTGGGACACCTTGGCCAGCCGGCGCCGTGGGCGGGCTCGGGCCCCGCAGAGGCAGGACCGGACGACACCCGGGAGGGCCAGGGCACGGGGCCCGACGCGCGGAGCGGCTTCAATCCGGCTAGCGGCCTGGACCCGGAGATCGCGGCAGGGAGGTGCTCAAAGTGAGGGAACCATCTGCCTTTCGTGGCGCTCTGCCACGAAGGTTGGCGCGAGTCCTCCAGCTCCCTCACCGGGGCCGGAAAGACCCGCGGCACGTGCCGGAGCCGGACGCCCATGTCCATCGCAGCAGCCCGCGCCTTCTTGAGCGAGAGCGTTAAAGCGCTCAGAGGGTATTACGGCCTGGTGGGTAGAAAACCTGACTCTTCTGCTTGCACTGTGGCGGATTTTTATTTTTGTGTTATTTCAGGCAGAAGTTGCCCCCCTAACTTCCAAATTTCAGGCCTGAACATTGTTCACCGAATACACTTTGTGATGGTGAGGATACTTTGGAGCCAACACACATTTTAAAAGCAGTATAGTTTTACCTATCTGTAAACGCATCAAGTTCAAGTACTACTCTGTGGAGTTTAATTTTTATGGTTTTGTTAATTTACTTTATTACTGGTTATTTATAATTATTTGAACTCCCATTCCCCCATTGTCTTTTCCTCTAAACTCCCCCAGGCCTACTATTCCATCTACAGCACAGTAGAGTTGATCATTAATGACTAAAGTTGAACTGATTATATGAAGGTGATGCCTTCAAAATAAACATGCTCAAATGCATCAAGTCACCAGAAGTTAAGTAATATCATAAGGAAACAAGTTTGTTTCCAAAGGCTTACATGCTTTTTAAGTAATTTTTTAAAGTAATGTTGTTTAAGAATTATTACAAGTTCCATTAGTGACTTGCTAAATTAGGAATCTTATCTGGATTTTTTTTCAGATAATAACAGCAAAAACATATGTGGTGGTTAACATGTGCCAAACATTGTTCTAAAGCACTTTACAGTATTTATTTATTCTTTTTATTAAAAAGATTTTGCCTCTAAGGGAACTGTCAGAAGTATGTGAACCAGAGCAACTCCATCTTAAATAGGAGCTGAGTAAAATGAGGTTGAAACCTACTGGGCTGCATTCCCAGACCGTTAAGGCATTCTAAGTCACAGGATGAGATAGGAGGTCAGCACAAGATACACGTCATAAAAACCTTGTTGATAAAACAGATTGCAGTAAAGAAGCCGGCTAAATCCCACTGAAATCAAGATGGCCATGAAAGAGACCTCTGGTAGTCCTCACTACTACACTCCCATCAGCGCCGCGACAGTTTACGAATGCCATGGCAGTGTCAGGAAGTTACCCTATATGGTCTTAAAAGGGGAGGCATCAATAATCCACCCATTTAGCATATCATCAAGAAATAACCATAAAAATGGGCAACCAGCAGCCCTCAGGGCTGCTTTGTCTATGGAGTAGCCATTCTTTTATTCCTTTACTTTCTTAATAAACTTGCTTTCACTTTGCCCTGAATTCTTTCTTGCTCGAGATCCAAGAACCCTCTCTTGGGGTCTGGATCGGGACCCCTTTCCTATAACAGAATTACTGCTCTATTATTTTATATTTTGCATACTTCACCCAGCCCACACTAATAAGGACAGTAATTTATTAAAATGCTTCCTCAAGCCAGGCACTGTGGCTCATGCCAGTAGTCCCAGCTACCCAGGAGGATCGTTTAAGCCCGCTGAGGTTGAGGCTGCAGTGAGCCATGATTGAGACACTGCACTCTAGCCTGGACCACAGTGAGACCCTGTCTCAAAAAAAAAAAAAAGCTGCCTCAGCCTGCTTGCTACCATCCTGTTATCACATACAAAAAGGTTCAAATTAGTATGACGTGTGCATGGTACTATTTTATTATTATTATTTGTAGAAACAGGTTCTTGCTGTGTTCCTAGCACTTACTTCCAACTCCTGGCCTCAAGTGATCTTCCAGTCTCAGTCTCCTAAAGTGCTGGGATTACAGGTGTGAGTCACCACGCCTAGCTACATGGTGCTATTTTAAACAGCTACATATTGAGTGGTCATTCAGACTTACAGGAAGCCAGATATGACAAACTTGAACATGAGATTGAGTCTCTCTTACTGCAACAGCCATTCTCAAATAGAATTTCTCTCCAAAATATCAATGTTAGAATTTAAATTTTCTTTGACTTGACATAAAATTTAAATGTCTACTGATAGAAGGTTGGTTGAATAAACTATGGTTTATCCAGACAGTGTAAAACTATGCATGCATAAAAAGGAATTGAGAAATATCTCTATACACTACAGGATATTGACTGGGAAAATAATATGTAATATGTAAATACCATTTTTATAAGAGGAAAATGTATGTATACATGTGTATACACATATATTTACTAATTACTATTTTACAAGTAGATTAACATTTAAAATGACTATATGGGCAAGGAGGGAAGAGGAGGGGTATAAGGAACAAAGAAGACATGACTTTGTTTTTTGGTTTTTGTTTATTTGTATGTGTGTCAGGCAGAGTCTCATTCTTTTGCCCAGGCTGGAGTACAATGGTGCAATCTTGGCTCACTGCAACCTCCATCTCCAGGGTTCAAGCAATTCTCCTGCCTCAGACTCCTGAATAACTGTGATTACAGGCATGTGCCACCATGCCTGAGGAATATTTGTATTTTTAGTAGAGATGGAGTTTCACTGTATTGGCCAGGCTGGTCTTGAACTCCTGACCTCAAGAGATCCGCCCACCTCGGCCTCCCAAACTGCTTGGATTACAGGCACGAGACACCACGACTGGCCTGAAGACATGACTTTGGAGCCATGTAAATATGTTACATTATAAAGCAAAATTCTATTTTTAAAAAGCAATCCTTGAAAGTAAAATGAAACTAAATGAACCTAAATGTTTTCCAATTGTGGCATATCACCCAGAGGAGCTATCCCAAGCGACTTTAAAACTTAATTTGTATATACTTAGTGGGATGTATTCTCAGGACTAAAGTAAGTACAAAAAAACTCTTGTAGACTGCATTCTGTAACCAAATTGTTGGTGGCAATATTGGTACTGTGGGATACACCAAGTTGAAGTAATTATGATGGTACCTTTGAAGCTGAAATTTTTGACATGAGATAGAGATATGAAAGCTTAATCAGGCTATATAAACATCCTGTAGTTCTGAATTTCATTTGGAGTCCTCAGTATGATTAACAGTATGGTTAATCTTTAAAAACACATCTCTCCTACGTGCTCCATTGGAAAGGCCTAGAGACAAGCTACCCAGTAGAAAGAAGCACCCCCTTGTGCTCACACTGTGATCTCTACAAACCATTTCCCATTAAAAGAAACACTGACTCTGTAGAACGATGGATGATCTTGGGTCTGGAGCAGGAAATGTACAAGATAAGCCTGCAATATCTTACATCAGGAAGCAGCAAAGCAATCAAAAGGCTATTAGGGTCATATCAAAAGGACTCAGGAGCCACCTTGAAAACCTTCCTACTGGTCAAAGATAGGATAATTTAAAGCATAAATAAAGGTAACTAATTGGATGAAGGACAGATAAATTTAAATAATTACATCAGACACAACCAGTCAACCAAACATGCAAGCCAAAAAGGTATCACTGTTCATTTTTAATGATAGAAGGAAACCAACTCTTATTCTGAAAACTGGTAAACAAAGGGAAAGAGTCAGGAATATTTATACTGTCTTTCCTATATGAATTATGATGCAAGTAACAAAATAACTGAAGTAAATTTTTTTATGGAAACATTCCAACTACTAAATGAAAAAGAAATGACAATACCACTCTACAAGCTCTGTGAACTAATAGATTTAAGAAGTGATCATCAGTGATTTCTTTATCACAACTGAAAAACCATGGGACATTATCTGTCTCCTGCTGGAAGAATATACTTCCACCTAATGAAGTATTTTTGTTGAAAAATAATTGCCTTTAGATTTAAACACAGGAGGCAGAACACACTAACAAAAGGTAAGAAATCAACATCCAGATGAAGGGAAACTCTATAGGACAAATGACCTAGATTTTTCTACAAATAAGAAACTTCATCGAAATTGCAAGAAGAAAAAGAGATGGAAGAATGCATTGCTTAAAAAAATTGAGACAAATCCAACAAATTACAATGAGTAAATTGACAACAATATCAGCAGAATATATAGTATACTGGTTCTCTGATATATCCAACTGTTAGACCATAATTAAAAGGTGTTGACATTTTTAATGAATAAATTTTTGCTATAACTGATCTATATGCTTATGATTTTACAGAAAAGCAGTAGGAAAAGTAGCACCATATAGTTAATAATTCAAAACATGGACTCTGGAGCCAAACTGCACGAATTAGAATCCCAGCTTTGCCACTTACTTGCCATATGACCTTGCGCAATTAATCTTTATTTTAAAAAATGGAGGTGATAATGGCATCCACTTTAAAAGGTTGACTTGATGATAAAGTCTGGGTACACACTTCCTTTTCCAAAATCCTTGGGTCCTGTGTGTGCCTGAACTTTAAAAAATAGAAAAGATATGCCCATCGTTTAACTTAATACCCCCATTGAGTCCTGGGTGAGTACCCCATGATCTCACACAATATTTCTGCAGCAAAATGTATGAGTATTCACACCAAATGAGTTAAAGACTATACATAGCCCTATGTCACTGCAGTGCTGGCTTTACCACCAAAGTAGATTTAACAGCAAATGTATTAAAATATATGTGGTTTTTAGAGCTTTGTGGATTTCAGAACAATGATTATGGGATTATAATCCTACATTAGTGAATTCCTTACACAGTGCTTGGAACAAAATAAGACTATGTTTCCCAAAAGAAGAAAGAAGAAGAAAAGACTATATTTCCTATTACCAACCTGACCACAGATTTTTGAACAACATATATTTTAAAAAATTAAGACTGTAATTTTAAAAGAGACAAATCGGCATGGCATTTTATAAAAA